AGACCAAGGAGGATGAAAAGTTGACCAACAAAGACAGAGAACTTGGTTTAATCAAAGACATGTCTAGGCCATCAAGAGTGAGCTCCCTTAAATGAGTTGCATTTACAATGAGTTTTTCCAGGAATGCTGGTTCAAACCTCATCCTACTTTCTGACAGTGAGAGTGAGAGATCAAGTGAAACTAATTTTGAGAGGTGAGAAATTTTGGAAGGAATGACACCACTAAAAGCAGCGTTAGATAAGTTGAGATGAGTGAGAGCGAGAAGATGACCAAACCCAGAAGGCATTGGAGAAGAGGAAAAGTTATTGAGAGCAAGGTTGAGTTTTTGAAGGTGAGTGAGTTTGAAGAGAGTGTTGTTGGAATAAAATGGACCATGAAAGCAACTTCTGCTGAGGTCTAAAGCCAATGACGTGCCCTGAGTTTGTGTCACAACTCACCCCATCCCACAAACAACAATTAGTACCATTTTTCCAAGATTCTGTCTTTGGATAACCACCATCATCTCCACATCGGCTACCGAGACTGAATGAGGTCTTGAAGCCAAGCAAGGCAGAGGCTTCATCATTGTTGCATAATGTCACCAATGAGGACGGGCATGAAGGAAAATGAGAAAGCAACAAACTCAGTACAACAGACACAAACCACCCCATACTTCTCTAAATGTTTTTGCTCAATAGATTCCAAGTTCCAACCCTTGCTTCACTCTGATTTTTAGAGTTCCAGCACGAAAAGTATAATCATCATATATTGAAATTTTGCGGATTGGACTTGTTGGAGTCAAATTTGTGAATCACACAATGTCTTGACTTGCATTATTACCCAATGGGAAAACAGCTTTGTGCAGAAAATGTACAGGATGAGAAACAAACCAACCCCATAGAAGAAAAAAATAGAACAAAAGCAATCACGTGCATGACTTAAAGACTCCAACAATAGTACAATTAATGTAAGGATGTATGTAACACACTCAGAACTTTTATCACGCCTAAGTCACGGTCATTTATAAAATAGGTTTACAACTCCAGTCAAAATTTAAAACTGATTCAGAAAAATCCTGAAAAAAATTAAACAATAAAAATTACATAAACAGTGATAGTCTCCCTTATTCAATGTCTTGTTATTATTCCTTAAATATTCACTACCTATGGTACATAATCACCTCTCAATTTTAAACCAATGTTTTTTTGTTGTTTGTGGGTTGATTTTACTTTTTACTCCGGATTATGTTATAAGAATTTTTATCAATGTGTTTGGGATTATAACAGGAATCTTACTTAGATTGAATACGATAAATGCTTGTGCTATCCTGGNGAAAATTATTGTTGGAGATGTCAAAAACCGTCAGCTTGGAAAATGTATCGTTCTTGGATTGGAAACAATTGATGGTACCATTGAACCTATTAGCACGTAAAACAAGGACTCGAAGCTCTTGAAGTGAATCTAACCAACTTGGAAATGTATCCTGTATGTTATTGTGTCCAAGGTCCAGAACTCTTAGTTGTTTGCATTTGATCACATGCCGAGGTAATGGTCCCTCCAATTGATTGCCATTAAAATTAAAAGTTTCCAATGTTTCTATCTCAAGATAGCTTCTGGGTATGATTCCACGAAGGTTGTTCCTCTGCAGATCCAAAACTATAAGATTACTCAAGTTTCCAACGCATTTTGGAAGTTTGCATGTCAAGTTGTTGTGAGACAAGATGAGTGTCACGAGGGAGCTTGCGTTGCAAAGAGATGAAGAGATGTCTCCAGTCAATTTATTGTTTGAGATAGAAAAGAATTGAACGGTAGATGGGGGAACAGGAATATCTACTTCCAACATATTGAAGCTTAGGTCAATGTAATACATATTCTTACTCGAGAGTGAGAGATTCCCAACCGATGTTAGCAGGTTATGAGAAAGATCCAAATAATCCAAAGTATCCGCCATATGATTAAATCCTTCTGGAATCCTTCCGTGAATTTGGTTCTTGGAAAGATCTAAAATAAGATAATTGCGACTTGCAGGGGATCGTAGCACCTGAAGATTTGAAAAATTCCTAAGATCTACAAGCCCACTCAGGTTATTTGATGATAGCATCAATTGAGAGAGATTTTGGTGAAAAAATATTGACTTGGGGATACCACCCTGTAGCTTGTTATTAGAGAGATCACAATAAGACAATGAAAAGCCAGAGAATTCGCCAATTGGGCCGGTAAGCTGGTTCCCACCGAGGATTAAGTAAACTAACGATGACAAAGAAAAACACCAAGACGGAATTGTTCCATTCAACAAGTTATCGGACAAATCCAGATAAGCTAATTTAGAAAGTCCTCCGGTTGTATCAGGTATTTGTCCAACTAATTTATTCCCTGAAAGGATTAAATAACTAATCTGAGTGAGCACAAATGACGATGATGGCAATTGGCCCACTAGGTTGTTTCCAGTAAGATCTAAAAATTCTAATTTGCTTAGCTTGCCAAACAAATTGGGGATCTCACCATCAAAATTATTACCTGCAAGATCTAAGTTAATAAGATGCTGAAGATCGAAAAGAGATGATGGAATCTCACCACTGAATTTATTCGTACGAAGGGACAGATAGTTTAATTGTGAGATGTTGCCCATGCAATGAGGAATGGGTCCTGTGAAATTGTTATACCAAATATCAATGTAAGTGAGACGTTGAAGCTTTGAAAGTGATAATAGAATCTCGCCACTGAATTTGTTAGCACCAAGGTCCAAGTGTTTTAGTTGCGTGAGATTAGATAAAAACTGGATATGTCCTGAAAAAGCATTACCACCGAGATCCAAGTGTCTAAGAGTAGTGCTCCGATTCAACTGTGGAAGCTCACCTTCCAGATAATTCAAAGACAAATTAAGTTGTTGAAGATTGGGTAAATAGAATATGTCATTTGGTAACTTCCCTTGCAAGATGGTATTTGAAAGTCCAAGAGAGACCAAGGAGGATGAAAAGTTGACCAACAAAGACAGAGAACTTGGTTTAATCAAAGACATGTCTAGGCCATCAAGAGTGAGCTCCCTTAAATGAGTTGCATTTACAATGAGTTTTTCCAGGAATGCTGGTTCAACCCTCATCCTACTTTCTGACAGTGAGAGTGAGAGATCAAGTGAAACTAATTTTGAGAGGTGAGAAATTTTGGAAGGAATGACACCACTAAAAGCAGCGTTAGATAAGTTGAGATGAGTGAGAGCGAGAAGATGACCAAACCCAGAAGGCATTGGAGAAGAGGAAAAGTTATTGAGAGCAAGGTTGAGTTTTTGAAGGTGAGTGAGTTTGAAGAGAGTGTTGTTGGAATAAAATGGACCATGAAAGCAACTTCTGCTGAGGTCTAAGCCAATGACGTGCCCTGAGTTTGTGTCACAACTCACCCCATCCCACAAACAGCAATCAGTACCATTTTTCCAAGATTCTGTCTTTGGATAACCACCATCATCTCCACATCGGCTACCGAGACTGAATGAGGTCTTGAAGCCAAGCAAGGCAGAGGCTTCATCATTGTTGCATAATGTCACCAATGAGGACGGGCATGAAGGAAAATGAGAAAGCAACAAACTCAGTACAACAGACACAAACCACCCCATACTTCTCTAAATGTTTTTGCTCAATAGATTCCAAGTTCCAACCCTTGCTTCACTCTGATTTTTAGAGTTCCAGCACGAAAAGTATAATCATCATATATTGAAATTTTGCGGATTGGACTTGTTGGAGTCAAATTTGTGAATCACACAATGTCTTGACTTGCATTATTACC